GTTTTAATGAAAATGATGCACGTCTCGAATTTGAAATCTCGGAATCAGAAGTATCTCAAGCTACCCATACCATCAAATTGCGCAAAGCGCTGGGGGCTGACGGAATTGAAGCTGAACATTTAAAATATGGCGGTGCTGCAGTTATGCATCAACTCTGCAAGCTCTTTAATGGTATCATGAAGGTTGGACAGATTCCTAAGGAATGGAAAAGAGGCATAGTAGTACCTATTTACAAGGGGAACAACAAGACAAAAAACTCTCCGGATAGCTACCGGCCGGTGTCCCTACTATCGTGTTTGTTAAAACTATTTGAAAAGATATTACACAATAGAAAATCAGAAAGTAGTCTCAGTAAAATCAAATTTCCAAACCCCCAACAACAAGCTAGGGTTTCAAAAGGGTCTGAGTTGCATTAAGGCAGGTTTTAATCTACAAGAAACAATTAGACGTTTCAATGATCATGGCAGCACAGTATTCGCTGCATTTTTAGATTTAAAAAAGCATACGATACAGCTTGGAGAAAAGGTCTTATGGTAAATTTACGAGAATTAGGTTTGAAGGGTAAAGTATGAGAAATTATAGACGACTGTCATTGTGACACTGAAAGCTTAGTAGCTGTTGATGGTCAAAGCTCCCAATGGTTCGAAATAAAACAGGGCGTAAGACAAGGGGGTGTACTGTCTGGTTTTTTACATTGTGTGTTTATTAATGATTTATTAAATTCATTATAGTGTGTAAACAAAAAGTTCGGTGTATAAAATGTTACATCCACAAACCCAGCCTTAGCTGACGATATAGCTTGCTTGAGTTTAAGTCCGAATGGATTACAAAAAGTGTTGAACATGGCATATAAGTATTCTTGTTTATGGCGCTTCTCATTTAATGAACAAAATTATGTATTGTTGTTTTTGGTAAAGGCAAACCCACAGCACAGCAAATTTGGAAATTAGGTGATGAAAACATTCCTTCAAGTGACACCTATACACATTTAGGAATCATTCAACATTGTCAATTTAAATCCAGTGTCCGGACAACTACATGTAATAGCTGCAACAAGGGCAGAAAAGCATACTTTGCGATACGTAATGATCTTTCAAGTAGCACTAACCCGTTAACTCATGTTAGTCTTTACAGGAACCTGTGTTACCTACTGTTTTATATGGATGTGAACTGTGGAACGATTTAAAACAAGCGGATTTATATCTCCTAAATAAATTCCAGCATTTTGTGATCAAAGATATACAGGATCTTAAGATTTCTATAAGATCAGATATGTGCGAAAGTATGCTTGGGATACACCCCTTATATCAGAAATAGACAAGCGAAAACTATTATTCTTTGGGAAACTTTGTGAGCTAGACGTCAATACACTAACAAAAAATATCTTCCTGACAAGATTATATGACGTCTTACAGAACAACAAGAAATACTTCTCTGGTTTTCTGAAGGATTTGTTGGAAATATTGATGAAATACAATTTAATACAGTACCTTCAGCAGTTTACTGAAAATGGAACTTTTCCCAAGAAAGTAAAGTGGAAAGTTATTGTCAAGAAGGCAATTCATCACTTCCAGACTGAGGCTTTGAAAATCCGCATGGAAGCAGACCCAGACTTCGGAATGTTCAGAACACTTCATAACAGCGTTGAACCTATCAAAATTTGGAAATTCAACTTTTCATTCGATGATGTTCCATACATAAAATTTCTCGCCAAGCTCTGGACCATTCCGCCATCCTCTGTTGTTAAAACCTTTATGTAAAGATGTGTATAGTAATCCATTCCAGCATGCTGTGCTGTGGTGTCCAGTCACTATCCATATCAGAAATGCTTTTTTTGACGACATAGTAGATAATTTTAACGTACATTTGTACGTAGAGCTCTCCCAGCTGAGTGATGATTTGTTATATGCATCGTTGCTGGGAGGGCTCGAACCAGCGTCTTTAACAGATGAAAATGAATTGAAGGAATTTATTCGTATAAGTTCAAAATTTGTGTGTAGTGCCACTGCCTATTATGGCACGGCTACTCAAAATGTGGAAAATGCCGACTTAGGCACGAATATGTAATTTTTTTTCTTTGTATATGTCCAACTTCTTTCTTTTATTACAACAAAGCGATGTAAAGCTGCAATTTATTTATAACATTCTATTGTTGGCAAGATGAAATCAAAGTAAACATCACTTTTTCGATTGAACGGCAGCCATTATTTAAAAAAGATATTGTTTTTAATTAAAAGATAATTTTTTTTAAATTAAAAAAAATCTCTATCACAAGTATACGAAGTATCTAAGAATGTTACGGTTTATGAAGGTTTAATGATTTCTCAAACGAGGTAAGTTATTGCAAACAAGTTAACGAAAATAGAATGCCCGCTGTCTCTTTTAAAGTCATCATCTCTTTTAAAATTCTATGGTCAATACAAGAACCCTTTATTTTGAAAAAGATGACACGTGCAATAAAAAGAGCTTCAAGAGAACAATTTATTACTTATATTACTTATATATTCCAGTTTTATCATGATAAAGTAGCATAAAGTATCGGATATCTATGGTATATATCACTTATTTGACTCTCATTCTGACGACTTCTTCACCATTCTAGAAGCCAATTCATTTTTTAAAAGAAATACTTGTTATGACATGTGAGATTATCTAGACGTAACAAGATAAGGCCATTACGTTTTTGTATATTATATGAGGATTATATTTGAAGGCTAACACATTTAGAGTCTAGTTTATTTTCAAATAAAATAATTACCTTTGCAAAACATCATATATATCTGTTGCAGTCTTAACAATACAAAACAGAAGATTTGTCACATCTCTTGTGAATAATCAGGAATAATTGTCTTGGTCAAGCACTCTTTTCAAAAGCAAAAAGAAAAATATATACAAGGCAAATTTTACTTCATATAGTCCTTTCAGGATAATCTCGTTCAATTACTTTATAGTTTATCAAGATTCATGTACTCCATTCTAGTTTTGATTTCTAAGTGTCCTATCTCTGTATAATGAGACGTTTCGACCTCTCTATATTCTGGTGATATAGCCGCGTGGATACCAGTATATTTGTTGTTGTCTTTTGTTGTTATGGCTAGTTCGTAATCAGAATTATTTTTGATATCTTTAGAGGACTGGCGTTTTTTTCCTTAGAAATACAACAAACAATACTGCTATCAACAATATCACAGACACAGATAACAATGAAACAGCGATCAGAGGCGCTGTTGTCCAGGTGTTCCCGTCTGTACAAAAAATTTCATTATATGACAGCTAGTATATTAACTGTAAATAACGCTTATAACCCGTATAATGAAACTCTTTCCACAAAATAAATTTCAATCACCTTGGATTTACAATTTATCACATAATTATACCTGTACTTGCACCAGAATTATCAACCGGAACCGCAACTTCTGTTTCGCAGAAAAATCCAGATCTGCCATCAACACATCCATTACATTGGCCTGTTGTAGGATCACAAAGTCTTCCCCTGCAGTATCCACTGCATGTCATATTACATTGTCGTCCATAGAAACGTTGATCACATACTAAAAAGAGTAGTACATACATATACATATATGTTAAATAAATGTTTGAAAAAACCTATTCCATCGCTATAAGCCTACTTAAAGCTTGGATATGTATTATATTTTTTTGTGTCCTTAAAGAACAGATGGAAATTTACAGCTAACATGTAACTGTAGATAATTACAAATTTTATTGTAAATGCGCAGTAACTAATGTATGATACAGTTGAAGAGGTTAAGCATACGTTTTCGCCTTAGAAATGATTTAACCTTACACAATTACATGAAGTAGCTTTCTACCCAATTTAAACAATTCAACGTGTGCAGCAATAATAGATAGTTTTTGATGGTTCCTTACCACATTTTCAAATATTCGAGATAGAAAAAAAATAAAAATCATTTATTTATTTATTGAACGATGTTTTATTCATTAAATTGATTTAATACCAGAAATGGGGTCATAAGTATCAAGTATCTATTTATGAGAACATAAAAAGGTATAACAATTAGTGTTACAAATTTCTTTCTTAATTTTTTTCCTGATAAGTAAAGTTAATTTGTTTACCCAGTGAAAAAGAGAAAAATAATATATGTGAATGTTAGTATTTTCATGTCACTAAGATCAAAGAAAGCGCCAAATATCGTTTAATATATTTTAATGTGTACGTATTGATTTTATTTTATATGATGTAATTTAAGTTAACACATTATTCGATAAAAAACTGCATGAATATTTGTCTAAGAGTGAGAAAATATTGAAGTGCAAAGGAAATGTGCTAGAAATAGGTACCTTTGGAAAAAATATTAAGTGAATCAATAATCAGCAAATTTAGAATTTGAACCTAATATCAGTGTTATTTTTATGAGAACAATTTCACAAAATGGTCCATCCATGTAATCAGGACACATTTAGCGATGCCTGTTGTTGGTTACATTGAAGAGCAATGCAGTGTTGGTTTCAAGTTAAGTTTAAATAACGGTATAGACCACAATATGTCTCTGCACAAACTGTAATAGATTTTTCTCTTAGCATTTAATTTTTAGAGTTACGTTTTTTTTATTTATTACTTTAAAAAAAACATGCCATAAATTACAGCACAATATAACAGGGGACGTCTCTTTACTTTCTTGGCTAAGACAATGGAAAATAATACATGGTAAATGTCCAAACATCATTCTCTAGTATTATGTTTCAAAAAACATCTCAAATACGAAATTCTCTAAAAACAGTAACCATGTATTTTAAATGTATGGAATGCGTTAAACAAACAAACAAGCAATGAAAGATTGAAATCCTTTGTACAGTAGCTTATGTTCTTTAAATATGTTTAAAAAATAAAATCAAAACATGGGGATAAGAGATAATTTTATCAGGTCATTATGCAAAGATAATTTTTAAAAGTGCGTTATTTCTTTAAATTGTGGAATTTTACTTGTTTATCCGATAAGGAAAGAAAGGAAAAACGTTACCTTTAACTTCGATTTCACATATATTAATGTATGAAAATTCGGATACATTTGGGTATATTGTTATATTTCTTGTATTGTAAACAGTGACATAGCGACCAGAAGTGACACAATCCAAATTGATGTTATTCTGTGGTATTTGTGTGACGTCATATTGATAACAGAGAGTTCCTGACCTCCAGTCTTCTGTATCTGATACATACACAGAGAATCCAGAGAGTGTGCTGCCTTCTGGAGAAAAATTAAAGAAATATGAATAATAATGTCTTATGGTGATTTGTCTACAGAAAGATCTTATCTACTACACGTATTCATATGATAGGATAAAAAATATTTAGTGCTCTACAATAAAAAAAAAAATATAAACCAACATCTTATGATGATTTGTCTTAAGAAAAGTTTTGGCCACGCCACATATTTAGATGATAAGATTAGAGAAATATATGCCCACATATCATTGCAGAGGTAAAAAAAAAATGAAATTTAAAAGACAATACCTATAATAAAAATATTTTTTCAACCGTTACTCAAACAACCTTACTTTGACATGTTAAAGCTACAGCTGATCCTGATGGACAGTCAGGTGATCCCTTTGTACATGTATTTATGTTAACTTCATTGCTTGCACAGTTCAAGATGTTGTAAAATGGAGCCGATGAGGAATCTCTAGCTATGTTATAAATTGGATTATCTCTAAAAAAGATCAAAAAATAGTTCATTCTTCATAAAGTAATATATAAAGAAAAAAGAAAGAAGATAAATGTAAGTGCTGAACAATATCTTAATTGGAATACGTACACTGTACTTCAATAACTATACATATTTGGGGGAAATTTATCTTTTATCTGTTATTGAAACTAAATGTTAAAAACAATAAGAGATAAATATTCTCATTTAATTTACATGTAAAGTTGTATGCCTAATACAAGGATTGGGGACTTTTATTTACGTAGTTTAAAAACAAATAATACATGTACAATGTGCCTATGTTTGGTTTTTTGTTTCTAAATTAGTTTGGCTTTTTTTATGATTGAGTTTTATTGGGTTTTTTCATTTCCATACCCTATGCCTTAATTTGAATCGGCAAGTCCTTTTCATTTTTTTGATTAAGGCTCTTTCCAAAACTGATCAATTAAATTAGATCAAATTTCATATAATGACATGGATATTAACTTTAATGAATATCAATCTATAGGATTCAGATCGTCTTATATTTATCCCTTTTCCTCGCATTATGCTATTTTCGACTATTTAGCAAAATTGATTTATTTGAAAATTTTGTTTTTTAGAATACTCTTTCCAGGAAGATTTCTTATGCATCTAAAGTCTGGTACAAATTAAAGAAATTGTGGTAATTTGTGTGAAATAAAATTAATATTTGGAATATGAATAAAAAGAAATGTACAAGTACATGCTAAAAAATATATTTCTCTTAATTATCATCATCAGGATAAACATTCAAATCTAATAAAAATCTATTGAATATTTATCCTTACGGTAGAAATCCCCAAGCCAAGCAAACGACCTGTGCATCCTTTTCATCAAATCTACTCGTACATATCCTTCTTAATTGATTGGCAACAAAAACTTGTCCATTTAAAGTAGGAAAGAGACCTGACTCAGCCGATCTTATTGCTGATGCATTGAGACCAACTGCAAGTGACAGACGTTAATTTTAAGACTTTAATATAAAAGATTCCAAAGTAAAGTAGAGCTTTTTAAAACAAAATTGAACAAAAAATGGCAAACTTTGCTATTTCTAATATGAAAAAGCATGAACCATTAATCATCCTAGATTTATTCCCACTCTGAATGAATCTTTCAATGACATTGATGCAAAGCTTGCAATTTAATGAACAACAAATATTCATGTAGCATCGATCATTGTATTATGTAATATATATGCCATGAAAGTAACATAACGTTATATATCTTAATGCTTACAACCCCCATGTAAGATTGTTATTGATGCTATATTTTTCTTTTCCCCGAGATCTACTGTTAACCACGCCTCCTCTTGATCGGACGCTGTCAGTGAACAGTCCAGTAGGTATGTACTCCTGTCTTCGTCAACGGCTTTACTTGGTGAAAAGTATCCATCGTTGTATCTAGTACTGACCGTAACAGTTTTCCTACTTGAAAGATTTTCTGATAAAAATTGTAAACATTATATAAAAATCAATTTGATTGGCTCCAAACCATTTTCTAACTCTTTAAAGATTCCGACACCTAAAGTGTGTTAAGAAAGTTCATATTTTTCTTTTACTTACGAAAAGAAATACAAAGAGAAGAAATTTACAATTTGTGACATTTCATTAATACAGAGTCCATTCTGGCTACTGATAAAGTTTGAACTACATTTTTATAAATCAATGGGGGGGGGGGGGGGGGGGGGGGGGGGGGTATTAAAAAAGATTATGTCTGTGCAGAAAAAAAAATCTGATTGACGTATATTTGTGACATATATTTAGCACAAAGATATGAACATCCTTTCAGATACTATGCAAATATTATCAAGTCAGTGAATATATAATTTAAAAATAACAAACCTATTCTTTTAAAAAGTGTTTTATCGTTCATGTACCTATGCTCATCAACTCGTTTGATGCAAGATAGGCTATGAAGGAACAAAAGTGAATTATCCTATATTTTAACCCAAAATGACCTGCATTTCTGTCTATCAAGTGCTTTAAAGATGTTATATATCTATGGGAAAAAAACATATAACTGCCTGCTCCAAATGAATTACTTAGAATCTAAAGCAAATTATTCTGATTTCATATCTTTTTGAAAATTCATATCAGCATTACTTTAAATTTTTTAGAAAATATTTCATCATGAAACGAATTTTTTAATACATGTACCTCTTACATTTAAGTCTTAAATTTTGGTCAGTTGAGATGCTGACATTATTATATAGATAACTGTTTGTTTAAAATAACTTACCGTATTGTTCAGCATTATCAACAAGTTCACATGTTATAAAGAATAAATTAAATATTTTGGACTCCATATCGGGAAAAAAGAGTGTAGTCATATAGAGGGGAAAAACTTCCGCATTTAATACAATTTCATATTTATCTCCTATGCTGCGTTTCATGATGTACAGTCAGTCTAGGATAAATTGTTTTCTTGACATTTGATCTTGATAGCAGGTGCAGCATATGATAAAGACTCAGTATTTAGAGAAAGTGTCATGAATCAACATGCGATATTCCGTTATCTTAGACATCAGACTTTTTTCTCTTGATTTTCAAGGGTTTTAAACCTGCATCACATGAGTTTAACAGCCATTTTGCATCTTTTCAATTGTAGGTTATCTGATAGCAATTTATGTTCGTTTCATTACAGGTTTAGCATTAATTAAGTATAATTAATTGATTATGTTTTAGTATTGCATATTTTGTATATAATTTTTATATATAAAATACTTTTTTATTGTTGTTGAACTAAAGTTCAGTATGCTTAGTACGTGTATATTATTTGTTAAACTCAATGCAAAAATCAATTTTAACAAAAATCTCGAAAAACAAGCATAAGCCCTGGAACTATCCTCATTTCCTACACTCAGCTTTACAATTTTATTTTTATACTAGTTTTGTAGCAAACGACTGATTGATTTTAATAATAAAGCCTGATGACTTTTACTTAAAGTTCTATGAGTTGTCCTCCAAATCCTGTACTCGAATAGTTTTCTATAAACCTACAGGATTGGGAGGACGACTTACAGTTATACTCTCTCTCTCTCTCTCTCTTGGTCTTGGTGTTTCCTGCATTTATTTATAATTAAATATTTTGAAATATTTTTAAATATAATTTTTATTTATATTTATTTTTTTTATTAATGTGTGTTTGTGAAGTGGGGAGATATAATAATATATTCTTATCGGGCCGGGAAAACAATTATTGTTAATTTTATCTTTTTTCATTCTGATTAAAATCATATTCACTCTATAATTCTGAGCGTGTAAAAGATCTGATATAATTTTCTTTATTTATTTATTTTAAATATCCAGTAAATATTTATTACAGACTTTTAATGTGTAACTATTATAAATGAAATCTGAATATATCACGTAAACAAAAGGTAACATGTAATTTATCAATGCGATATCATAATACACGTGTTCGGCAAACAGGTATACTACGATTGAGCAAAACTTAAAAAAAAACAACAAAAATGAATTTAAACTATATAACAGATGAATTTGATAGGTATTTTGTTAAGATGCTTTCGTCAGTTTCACTCGTACACCATTCGATACATAAGTTCAACACCTGTTTCTACCTCTTCTGTTTTTGTTTTCATTTAGAACAATAAATGCATACTGTGAAATCACTAATTTTCGTTGGGGTTTAATAAATAAAATCCCCACGAACCAAGATTTTTTCCTCAAACCAGGAAAATTTGACCCCACGAAAATATGTGATTTTACAGTAATAAACCCTGATAAGTAACTTTGAAATTCTCGGAACGGGAATTTTGAGATCGGAGAAATCATGGAAATCAATTATACATGTAATTCTACGTCGAATTGTACAGTTGAATTTTGGAAAATTTATCAATGATCTCCATTATGTCACTGTTTACATGTACAGTGTACATGTATCGATCGTCGCATAAACACCAATGATCGATCCACAATTCCATCACTGTATTGGAATATACAAGGGGCGGGGTTAACTGGCGGCGATATTAAAGCAGGGTCCGCTTCACGCATCAGTGCGTAGAGCGGTCCCAGAAAGCTACCACCGGGTTAGCTCTAGCGGACCCAAAGCTGACCCCGAGCGAACGCGGAGTGCACCCAAAGCGCACCAAGAGCGAACCCAAATTTCTGAAAGCGAACCCGATACAAACCCGTAGCGAACCCTGAGTCCGCTTCGTGTTCACTCAGGTTTAACATGTGTGTTTTGTTCGGTTGGTACTTTATATTACATTTTCCACATGTATTTAGTTACTTTGTTACATTTTAAAAAAAAAGTAATACATAGTAAGACAATGCTAAGATGACATTTTCAATTTCGGTATGTAAAATGCTTGAGTATATGTTTACATCTGGTACAGTACATGTATGCAATATCGAAAAAAAATTGCAAAAAGTAAAACAGAAAAAAAGTTTGAAAGAATTGACAAATACTATATAGAAATACGATTTCACAACGATGAAAAATCAATTGAATAATAACCTTTAAATTATAATTATAACCTTGAGCAAACCGTCACCTAAACAGAATTTCATATTTTTACCATCTGCACATTATATGACCCCATACACTCCCTCCCTCAACCTTGCCCACATGTTCCGAAGCCTATGTATTTTTTTAAATGTAGGTATGGTAAGCACATAAGATTATTTTTATGACAAAAATAATACTAATGATAAACCTTACTACAGATCTGTTTAGCATTATTATTTTTAAACATATAAGATTTCCACATTTAAGTAGTGATTCTACTTCTTGGGCAAACTACTGAGTACATGTATAACCTGATTTGGGTCAGTTATCGCTTTAAAAAAGCGTAAACTAACCCAGACCAGGCTACACTCGATAATTGGCCAAGAATTAGAGTCATTTCAAATAAATTAAATTTAAAAAGAAAACAACTACGGCCGCAAAATTAGGCTTCTTTTTATGGGTCAAATTAGCCGCTTTGTAATACAAGCGTAGTAAGGGAAGTGATGGGATGCTGGGGGAGGTAATAACTGATATATAGACCTCGCAGCCATGATGTTTGTTTACATGAGGTAAGATCTAGCTACTGTTTGAAGTTAAGGGTACATTTATGAAATCTGAAATTTCCAATGAATTCCGAGGAATGGAAATAAGGGGAATGCATTAATAAAAATGATTCAGCTGGTTGTCAAGGGGGTGTGTCTCCATACCAAACCAGATTATACAGAAGAATTTGCGTGCCTTTTTGGAAATCAACCAATGAGAGGCTACAATACAAACAAAATTAAATTATTAAGCATGACCAATTTATGTGCGAATGATAGAGTTAATGAAAGCAACATTTTCATATGTAACAGCAACCTTTTGACAACTTGGCCTAAATCTTCAACCTTAAAGTGCATTCATTTTTCAAGCTCGATATCTGCAAACTAAATTTTTCATGACAAGACAACTTAAAGAGCACAAGACGAATATGACCAATGTGCAGGAGATGCTCACTCGTCCATGGCACCTGATCCCATGGATGTTTTGTAAGTCCGTAATTTTTTTTTCTCTTATTTTGTAATTGAGCTCTGTCACATTAAAATCCCCATAATATTATTTTGTTACAGTATTTTAATATTATGTAAATATCCCGTGTGGAACCCCTTCGTTTTAGTCAGTTTATCATTGTAAATATCCTTTACTGAACCTCAATTCACTGGACCTTTAAACCCGCCAGTCCGTGCAAGATAGTTTGGACACGGCAGTCCAGAGAGGAGGACGCTTTTACCCCTCTCTCATTCATGTAGATATCTGATATGTTTTGTAATAAGAAATTATAATTACACCGAGTACCAGTATTGCTTGCAGGGCTTCCTCTGTATTTCCTGTATGTTATGGTCCAGCTTTTCTGAGGTAAGGTTTATGTTTATAATTTTTTATCTTTATTATTTTCATTTTGCGTACATTTGTCCTAAAACACCCAGTAACCACATTTCTCATCATTTTAAGCATGTATGTTTCGTTTATAATTGTATCTATGTATAGTAACACGTATTTGAATATTTCTAAACTATGGTGTACAATTTCCTTCATGAAAGTTTGTCCGTGTAGTAGCAATTCGCAATATTGCATTTGTATGCATAGTTTAAACAACTCGTTTGTGTAATAAGTCTTATCTAAGACGTGTACATTATCCACAAGTTTGATAATGAGTGAAGTATGTATTTGTGTCAAGCCACAAGCGCTTATCAATAAAACTTGTATATGTATGTTGAAGCAGGTTCCATCTATCCATGGTATAAGTCTACGTAGAGACGGTGTGGAAAGGCCACCCAGTGCCTTGTAGTGAGTCAGCCCGTTCCGAGTGGAGTGGTGCGTAAAAGGGACACAACCCTTGGGCCTTAGAGTTCCTCTGGCCAGTAGTGTGGAAGGCGGCAGCACGACGCAATAGGACAAGCAACAAAGGACTTTGTTGAATTTGTACATTTATTGTTATTAAATATGTAAATTATCTTTTAAAAAAGCATTTGAGTTATATTTAAATTTAGTGAAGAAAAAAGAAATAGTAAATCCGCTCGACAATCTGTGACAAATTGGTGTCAGAAGTGGGATAAGATTCCCTCAGAACATTAATTTTTGTTTTATGTAACAACCATCCAAAGTTTTCAAAAATATTTTGTATAATTTTGTAAAGTTTAAAAAAAACTGACATTTTTCTCTTCTTGTTGAAAAAATTTTCTCTGCTTGGTCAATGTTTTCTACATGCTGTTTTATTTTGTATTTTCCCATTTTCTGTTGTGTTTGTTCTATGTTGTAGAGAATCAGCCGGATTCTGGTTGTTTGGGACCTCGGAAAAGTGCTAACAGGAGTTGGACCATTCTGGTAAAGACAGAGTAAGCAATGATGCAAGTCGCGTAGCTGGATGTAAAGAATATCGCAATGCGGTTAGAAAGTGCATATTAGTTTTTGCTGGTTTTAAGGTAGTTAGAGGTGAAGTGAGGTTCGAATCAAAATCTGTTCCGTCACATGTGCTAGTCAATTCTGATGATTTAAACGAGTTGAAATTATTTGGGGAGAGTTTAGGTCTTAAAGATGAAGATCTCACAAATTTTATTAAAGAACAACAAGCTTTACGGACAGATGAGAGACAAGCACAGAGAGAGTTAGATAAGATAAAGATAAATTCTCAGACTGAGGTTGAAAAAGAGAGACTAAGTTTTGAGTTAGAGAGAGAGAAAATGAAAAATGACATTGAGAAAATGAAACTAGAACAAAAGCCTATTTTCTCAGACGAGTCAAAGTTTACAGTTGGTCATGTTTTGCCCAAAACCCCCAAACTCCCTTTCTTTGATGATTCTCATGATGAGATGGATAGTTTTCTCCTTAGGTTTGAACGATATGCTGAGGCTCAGCACTGGGATCATTCAAACTGGGCTATAAATCTTAGTGCATTATTAAAGGGGAAGGCTTTAGAGGTGTATGCGTTAATGCCAAAAACTCATGCCCTTGATTACAATACTCTTAAGACAGCTTTATTGAAACGGTTTGAATTGACCGATGATGGTTTTAAAAAGAAGTTTAGATCATGTAGGCCAGATCAGTGTGAAACCTTTTCTCAATTTGCTGTCCGATTGAGTAGTTTCTTTGAAAGGTGGGTTGAAATGGCAAAGGCACCCAAAACATATCAAGGTTTGTATGATCGTATGTTGCGAGATCAATTTCTGCATGTATGTAGTCAAGATTTAAGATTGTTTTTAAAGGAAAGAATACCCGACAGTCTAATGAATATGGCAAACTTAGCTGACCAGTACAAAGATGCCCGCGACTTAAGTGCGCTACAAGCTGTAGGTAAGGGTAAAATTTCTTTGTCAAAAAAGGTCGATCAGGTAAAGAAAGTAGATGCTGGTGAGAACAAGAGTTCGTCTTTTGATAAGAAAAGATTCATACCTAAGTCAGAACGTAAGTGTTTTAAATGTCACAAAGTTGGACATATTGCATCAGAGTGTAGGTCCAAAACAACGTTAAACAATGTGTCACATGCTGTACAGGATGTTGTATCTTCTGAGCAAAAGGTATGTTTTGTTAGCACAATGCCTTCAGACTCTGTTGTAGAATCCACTGCATCTTCCTTTCCAACAACTACGTCATTTTCGTCTTGCCAAAGTAACTTAGCTTCTAGTATGCCGATATCTGCAGGTTATGTTAACAATGTACCAGTGACAGTCTTGAGAGATACTGGCTGCAGTGGTATTGTAATAAGGAGGAGCAAAATACAAGATGAAGACCTAGTACAAGGTAAGAAACAGACTTGTGTTCTAGCAGATGGCTCCAAAATAACTGTTCCGATCGCAGAGGTTTCCATTAACACTCCCTTCCTGAAAGGACAATATGAGGTATGGTGCATGGAGAATCCTGTATACGATCTGATAGTTGGTAATGTCCCAGATGCCAAGCCAGCGACTCAACCAGATCCAGATTGGCAGGTAAATGCTGTTGAGACCCGGCAACACAAACGTAACAAGAGCAAACCATACGCTCAGCTTAAAGTACCAGCCATCATATCTAAGGATCTTGATCCATTGAAAATTAGAAATGCACAAGAGCAGGATGTTTCTCTGAAAAAGGTACCTGAATATGTTGAGAACCACGTGACTCAAATGAAGAAAAATGGTAAGGTGAGTCGGTTTAAGAAAAATGAACTTATGTTTAGACAATACACTATTCGTACTGGAGGACAAGACAAGGTGTATACTCAGTTGGTTGTTCCTGCAAAGTTTCGGGACCAGGTAATGAAACTAGCGCATGACTCTTTGTTAGCAGGTCACTTGGGGACACAGCGGACCTTAGCAAGAGTTACCTCAGAATTCTTCTGGCCAGGGATGCATAGTGAGGTGCGGCGTTATTGCCAGTCGTGTGACATATGTCAACGCACAGTTCACAAAGGTAAGGTACAGAAAGTGCCATTGGAGCGAATGCCACTCATAGATGAGCCCTTCCAAAGAGTTGCCGTTGATCTTGTTGGACCACTTTACCCAACCACGGACAAAGGTAACCGTTATATTTTGACTCTGGTGGATTATGCTACTCGCTATCCAGAAGCTATTGCTTTGCCTAACATCGAGACAGAGAGAGTTGCAGAGGCCCTGATGGAGATGTTCTCGAGAATCGGTGTGCCCCGTGAGATGTTGACAAATATGGGAAGCCAATTTACTTCTTCTCTAATGTCAGAGGTGAGTCGACTTATTTCTCTTCGACTATGGACCTCGACACCATATCATCCGAGCTGTAATGGGTTGGTAGAACGTTTCAACGGAACTCTGAAACAAATGTTGAAGCGACTTTGTTCTGAAAAACCTAAATATTGGGACAAGTACCTGAGTGCAGTTCTGTTCGCCTATAGAGAAGTTCCACAGGAGAGTCTTGGATTTTCTCCGTTCGAGCTTGTATATGGCCGATCAGTTCGTGGACCAATTTCGATCTTGAAAGAGTTATGGACCAAGGATATTGCAGATCCCAATGTGAAGACTACTTATCAATATGTCCTGGATCTCAAAGACAGACTTCAGTCTATGGCAGATTTAGCCAAGGAAAGTTAAGAAAAGTCATCTACCAGGTATAAGAAACACTATGACAAGAAAACAAGGCATAGAAGTCTAAAGGTAGGAGAGAGAGCATTAGTTTTATTGCCAACTGATAACAATAAGTTATTGCTTCAGTGGAAAGGACCTTTTGTGGTAACTAAAAGGGTAAACAGAGTAGATTACCAGTTGGATGTTCAAGGTAAGACCAAAACGTTCCACATGAATCTATTAAAGAGGTATGTTGAGAGACCTACTACAGACAAGGTTTCAATGACATGTGATGCAGGTGTACTTGGTTTGGTTAACGCATCGGTGGTTGATTGTGTAGATGATGAAAACCAAGAAGGCCAGCTAGACGAGTATCCTCAATCAAAGGTTAGTGGAAGTAATGTAAACATAAACCCTTCATTATCAACAGAGAACAGGGATAAGTTGTTGAAATTGTTGGGTCAGTACAATGATGTTTTCCAAGACAAGCAAGGTCTTACAAATGTCCTTGAACACGACATAAGGATGGTAAGTTCAAAACCCATTCATGTAAAAAGTCGTCAGATACCATATACTATGGAGGAGATAGTCAACAAGGAGGTAAGGGACATGTTGAGTATGAATATTATTGAACCCTCCGAATCTCCATATTGTTCACCAATCGTAATAGTGCCAAAGAAAGATGGAACAAATAGGTTTTGCATAGATTTTCGTCTGTTGAACAATCAAACCATATTTGATTCTGAACCAATGCCTGACACTGACGAAATGTTTTCCAAACTTGCAGGTCATAAATTCTTTTCAAAGATTGATCTCTCAAAAGGTTATTGGCAGGTGAAACTAACAGATGAATCAAAACCAAAAACAGCTTTCAAAACGGGGAAAGGTTTGTTTCAGTTTAGGGTAATGCCCTTCGGGTTGGTAACGGCTCCCGCCACTTTCTCAAGGTTGATGCGCAAGGTCTTGCATGGTATGGAGAATGAAGACAATTTTATAGACGATATTTTGGTCTACACAAGGTCATTAGAGCATCATTTTGTTGTTTTGAATGAGCTTTTTCAGCGATTACGCCAGGCAGGTTTGACAGCCAAGCCTAGTAAATGTTCATTGGCTTACTCAAACATAGACTGTCTTGGATTTATGGTCGGTAACGAGCAGTTGAAACCAGACTTAGACAAGGTTGATGCAATACGTAATACACCTGTCCCGCTTACAAAAAAGCAATTAAGGTCATTTCTTGGACTAATCGGTTTTTACCGTAAATTTGTACCAAACTTTGCTCAGATTGCGTCACCTCTCACTGATTTGATTAGAAAAGGTTCTCCTACTAAGCTTCTTTGGGAAGAGTCTCATGATTTAGCGTTTCAGACGTTGAAGAGTTCACTAACAAAGTGACCTATTCTAAAACTTCCCAACATCAATGATACATTCATATTACAGACAGATGCTTCAGATAGAGGTCTGGGAGCAGTCCTCTTACAATGGGAACTAGATCAAAAACTACTAATTACATATGCTAGTAGGAAGCTAAAAGAGAGTGAGTGCAAGTATGCTACAGTTGAGAAAGAGTGCCTAGCAATAGTGTGGGGTATTCAAAAATTCCAAAACTATCTGTATGGGCAAGAGTTCGTGTTAGAAACGGACCACAGTCCCCTTGTTTATCTGAACAAGTCTAAGGTAACGAACCCAAGACTCATGAGGTGGGCACTTAGCCTAAAACCTTACAGATTCAGAATTCAGGCCATTAAGGGCAAAGACAATGTTGGTGCTGACTACTTAAGTCGTTTGTAAATACAGTGTATGTTGTTTTCAATCAATAGTGTTTTATCAATCCAGTGTTCTTTTCGTGCATTTTAATGTGTATTTAAAGTACTACGTACTTCTCCGAAAAGGGAGGTAACTGTCACATTAAAATCCCCATAATATTATTTTGTTACAGTATTTTAATATTATGTAAATATCCCGTGTGGAACCCCTTCGTTTTAGTCAGTTTATCATTGTAAATATCCTTTACTGAACCTCAATTCACTGGATCTTTAAACGCGCCAGTCCGTGCAAGATAGTTTGGACACGGCAGTCCAGAGAGGAGGACGCTTTTACCCCTCTCTCATTCATGTAGATATCTGATATGTTTTGTAATAAGAAATTATAATTACACCGAGTACCAGTATTGCTTGCAGGGCTTCCTCTGTATTTCCTGTATGTTATGGTCCAGCTTTTCTGAGGTAAGATTTATGTTTATAATTTTTTATCTTTATTATTTTCATTTTGCGTACATTTGTCCTAAAACATCCAGTAACCACATTTCTCATCATTTTAAGCATGTATGTTTCGTTTATAATTGTATCTATGTATAGTAACACGTATTTGAATATTTCTAAACTATGGTGTACAATTTCCTTCATGAAAGTTTGTCCGTGTAGTAGCAATTCGCAATATTGCATTTGTGTAAGAGTTGTATGCATAGTTTAAACAACTCGTTTGTGTAATAAGTCTTATCTAAGACGTGTACATTATCCACAAGTTTGATAATGAGTGAAGTATGTATTTGTGTCAAGCCACAAGCGCTTATCAATAAAACTTGTATATGTATGTTGGAGCAGGTTCCATCTATCCATGGTATAAGTCTACGTAGAGACGGTGTGGAAAGGCCACCCAGTGCCTTGTAGTGAGTCAGCCCGTTCCGAGTGGAGTGGTGCGTAAAAGGGAAACAACCCTTGGGCCTTAGAGTTCCTCTGGCCAGTAGTGTGGAAGGCGGCAGCACGACGCAATAGGACAAGCAACAAAAGACTTTGTTGAATTTGTACATTTATTGTTATTAAATATGTAAATTATCTTTTAAAAAAGCATTTGAGTTATATTTAAATTTAGTGAAGTAAAAAGAAATAGTAAATCCGCTCGACAATCTGTGACAAGCTCGAATACTGTTTGTTATCTCCAAATATTTTGTTTTATTTTGGATTACAAGAATAAAACAATTAAAGTATCGAACAAGAATTGTTTCATGAATTGTATACTAGTATTTCTTCTGATGTACGTTTATTCATAGATTGTCTCATTGCACGTGTCACATCAATGTAATTGCTGTATTTATCTTGTTTGTCAACTCAAGATCACACAATTTTGAAAATATAAATGCAATCGTCACCCATTGTGATACATGTATTTATTTTTGATTTTTTTAAGTTATTCTTACTTTTTTCAGTTCTAAATGAGTGTAGTTTGGCGTTTGTCTTTAAATGTACCACCTTCATATTTACGAGGGTTGTACGTAAAGTTCGTGCACACGATAAAAATTTAATAAAAATGTGTCATTGATATTTATCGTTGGCATATTTCTTATACTTTATTAAATATGAATTGAAAAATGTAAAATTTTATTCAATTTTAAATGTTTAATTACAATTATGGCTTCATAATTATACTTGGAATGGAGTCCCGGAGCACCGCAAAGTTTTAATCAAGAAATTGTTTATTTTATTACTTTATAAATTTCATTTGTATTTTATAAAATTCTGGAGAAATCTGGAAGAATTTTACATTATGAGTTGACAGGAATAATCAGGTCAAATCTGCAAAATGTCAATGTTCGAAGTTTCAAAATGGCTGAGCAATCAAAGTTAGAACATATTAAGACAGGGTCGGAATCGTTTTCGGAATAGGTGAAGTAGTGAGCAGTGATAAAATTCTGCCTAGACATCGGATAAACAGCTACAGAGACCAATACATTCTGAAAACAATTGGGAAACATCCTTAAAGATGTCGCCCACTAGTATGTAAGTTGCATATAATATTTTCGGACGGAATGAACAGTTTACAGAAATACATTCGTGAAGGAAAAGCATAATTCCGATATTGCAGTGCTGTAAAAAATGAATTTCGTAACGTGATCATGACATTTATTTCCGTAAATAAACTCATCTTAGCACGGACAGCTGTAATGATTGCAGAATTTGAGACAGACGTAGTTAAATATTATTTTATGCATGAAACCTGAACATTTTGTGCACACTTTTCTGTCTGTTTAAAACGACATAAGAAATGTATTGAGTTAAACGGTGACTTTGTCGAGAAAAGTTACATTTGCTTGTAAATAGCTTCTGACGTCGGGTAGCGTCAATAACTTTAATTCGTTTTAGTGCGCCGGGTATGTGTGTGTCTTTTTGTATCTGATAAAATATAAATATTTGTGCTTTGTTTTTGTTGAAAACTTGCAGATTTATAAAATGAAACATGAATTTTAAAAGAATAATAGTTTCATATATTCTGTCAATGTTTGTCAGTAATTATTTATGGTGTCCACGAACTTTACGAACAACCCTCGTTAGTAACAAAATCTGGTTCCCTGAAATTCTGTCACATTTTTTCACAGCATTCCATTAACATTTCTGAACTTGATTGGAAGTGTCTGGTAAATGTGACGTATTATTTTTAGCAATAGTCCAATCAAATTTTGAAATGTGATTGTTAGTACACTGATATTCTCCTATATTATTTCTGTTTCCAGGGGAACTCATCTTTTGGAATATAATTTATGGTGTCCTGTGATGCGAAATAGGGCTTCAAAATTTCTGTTTCAGTGTTTTTAGTTTTGGTTCGAATGGGAGTCGAAACGTTTGTCTGATAACCATAGTCCTTTGATCTCTTACATTTTTGGTAATCGCCCACTCACATGTTCTCTTCGCACCTTACAGTAGATATAATCTACTTCGCACCTTATCCCATCTCATGATGATCTTCCGTGTTACGGGTGTTGTCTTCATTTTTTAAAATATCTTTGCTTGATTTCTTTCAAGTTGTTTATTTTTTTTCCTCTCTGATATTTCATTTTTTTAAATAAAAACTATTATTTGGGATTTTTTTTTTGTAATTTATGCTTCTCAAACAAAATAGATATGAAAGGAATCACCCAATTTATAGTAAATGTTTGTAAATATGTTAAGTTATCATTTATGAATACCTTACGCATTTATAATCTGTTTTGTAGAGGGACTGTGTGCATTTTGTGGTTAATTTCCTTAACATTAGAGGAGATGCAAATGATAAAGTTTTGACGCATTACTAACTCTGAATTACAGGGAAGAAATAAGGAAAAAATTTGATTTTTACACACCTTTTTAATTTTCTCTTTCATCTTAAGTCATGTACCATGAGATTGTTTCTTTATTATCTATACTCGTGGGAAATACCCGCATTTTCACAATATTTCCTCATACAGAGAAAAGTTTAAAACTTTTTGACTAACAGAGTTCTGTAAAACACTATGAGGAAATCAACGGGATAAAGACATGCACAAATATGAGGGTTGTGAACATGGCATTTAAAACAATTGATAAAAATGAAAAATAAAAAATGACATAATTCCTTCAAAATTATCGAAGCGGACGAAATGCAAATTTGATCTTTAGTTGCTTAAAATACAGTCATATCCTTGAAGTTAAGTTCATTATCTGAAAACCATTTTAGAAAAAAGTGCATAAAGCCAAGTCAGATAGACTGAGAGACAGACAGACAGAGGAATTTGATGTTTTAAAAGTTTAAGTCTAAGCACACTTTCTAGTATAATTAATAAAATTAGATTTGTAACAATTTCTAATTATAAAAACTTAAGAAAATGTTTCACAAATAATATGAATGTTTTTAAGTTTCCTGTTCTTATTTGACGCAAATAAATGTATATAAATGATCGCATTAGAAAAGAAAATAATTAATATGAGCTTTTCCTTTTTAAAAGAAAATCTATTCTATATGGTACACACAGAAAGTCTACAAACCCATGGCTAATATGATTTTTTAAGTCAAAATGCAAACAGTTGAAAATTATCTCATACAATCCCTTTTGGCATTACAGGCTGTGTATTTATTCAGTATGCTTACATGCATTCATGGAATTTTTGTTTAAATAATTAAGGATATGTTTTATACCAAATAATTTATACTAAAGAAAAAAAATTATGAATAGTCATACATCATTACATTTAAAAACATGGTTGGTTGTGTTGTATATTAACAAGTAAACATAGTGTATTGCAAATTATTTAATCAACCAAGATTAATGTACTCTGTTCTGGATTTGCCGTCAGTATTATTAATTTCCATATAGTGAGACGCTTCGATTCCTGTATTATAACCAGGGTTTGGATCGTGAAAATGAACGTACTCGGACTTGTCTTCTTTTCTGGCCATAGAAGTTTCGTAGACTGGATCTGAATTGCTGGAATGAGACGGTCGACATTTTTTTCGTAGGAAACAGAGAACAAGTGTTGCTATCAATAATATTATGACCACAGAGAGCAATGCCACTGCCAGAAGGAACATGCTTTTCGAAATGATTGTGTCTGAAAAAAATAAAGAAAATTTATGACTGGTATATGAATGATTTCTGATTAAAAAATGAAACTTTTACAATCATGATACTGTAAATCATTTTTTATTCGCGAGGACTTTATTTTCACGTAATTACGCGAGACAGTGTACTCGCGAAAATTTTATTCACGCGAATAATAGAACTCCTAAATTTTGTCTGTCTCATAAAGAGTCTATGACTATCTCGCGAAAATAAGGTGTCGCGAAAATTAAGAAAATTAAGTGATCTTTAGTAGTTACGATTATCGAACACTGTTCTGAGAAGCATCAAACACTTTTGGGCATTTTTATGCCAGTAATGAATGTCAATAAACGGTTTAAGTAACTCTATGAAGTTCTTTTTGTTCCTAAAGACCATACTCAGTAATTCAGATACATTGTATGTTTAAAGAAAAAGTATAACAACAAAGGATTTTTATTCTAAAAATATAAGAATTTGAGATATACACTAGAGGTTAACCTACAATTGCTATTAAGTTTTCCAGAAATAGTGTCATACATGAATTGAAATATTAACCGAAAGGACTATAAGCTTTAAAAACAATAAGCTTATCTGAATTACGTTGACTGAACTATGCTTAATTATTTACTGCAATTTTTGTAAATAGTAATTTTAACATGCAGAAATTATTTTTTTGCAAAGGAACCCGTCATTCAGTTCACACTTTTATTCAGATGTATTGTATTTTGAAAATAATAGCATTATTTATTTTGTAATATAAAAAAAATTAGTACCATTCTTTAAACTCTGCCAATATTGCTCAGGAAAAAAATCTTTTTCTAATTTGTTCAAAATTAATGCCAAACACAAGTATATTCTTGGTTTTCCTCTATGAAAACATGTATATGCTTACATGTAAAATTTTGTAAAAAAAAAAAACAAATGCACTTATAATCAATTTCTCAAATTATTCTTTTAATGACGTTATAATGGAATTTGAATTTCTATGCCTATTTTTCATTTTTTTATGCGTCCACACATATACGCATTTAGAAAAAAAAATAAATCAATTTAAAAAGGTAATTAAAAGTCTTTCACAGCACAATGCTGATTTGGATACATGTATCTGTATTAAATATTGCAAAGAATAAAAAACTTGAAAAACTTTTCAACATAGCAAAATACAACTTAAGGTATGTAGCACAGCCATAAAATTGATTCAAGGATAGTTAAATATGTATATAACTAATTTTCAATTAAAATGACATAAGCATTTTATCCCAAAAATATAAACAAAAACTTGTAAATATAATAGAAAAATCAACGATGTAGTATCGAAAGTTTTGTCTCAATATTTATCCTTCAAAGTTATTTTTATACCTGACGTGGGAGTTTCATTCTGACAAAATTCTCCAGTTTTGCCTTCATTACATCTGATACAGTATCCTGTTTCAGGGTTACATCTATTATCTCTGCAGTCGTTGCTACAAGACTGATTACAGATAACTCCATAGAAGGTCAAGGCACATGCTGTAGTAAAACAATTAAATATAGTGACCTTTGGTTAATTAGCAAGAGTGTTCAGGGTTATCCATAAAAGA